CCATTAGCATGCCTCAAGGACCCGGCAGCACCGAGTTGTGAGTACTTTACACCACAGCTCTTACGGAAAGGGCTCCTTCTCCATTACTTCTAAGGAAGAAGTGCTGACAGAATATGAACTTTGAAGTTCACTTAACACACAAAAATCTTTTTCATTTTGCCTGACCCTCACTCGTGTTTGTGTATTGCTGAATAAGTGCGTTAGAGCATATTTGCTACCATCCATAAATTAAAAGTTTTAAGACCAGTGGGTGAAGTCACACTGTGTATTTTATTTCCCTAGAGACTGGGAAAATTTAGGCGACTCCCTGATTCCACAGCTCACACAGTTAAACACACGGCTGAGACCACCCCCCAAAGATGAAGGTCATGTCATATCCAAAGTGCGAATGAGACTAGAGAGCTACGAGGGGGGAAACTCGGCAGTTCCTCTGAGAGAGTGCCCCACGGTGCCCCATGATTCTTGAATCAGGATAAAGGACCGATGCCAATCATGGAATCTGAGGGAGACCATGCCAAAAAGCAGCCAAATTTTAAGCTGTATGTGTATGAAGAATTATTTTTATTCTAACTCTGACCCCTAAAGGCTTCAATCTATCTATTGTATAACTATAACAAATACTCAAACATGTTGACTTGATAAAGGAATAGTTTCCATGCAGTTTAATGTATTATATGTAAAGTAATAAGTATAACATGTTTATACTATTTAGGACCATCTATGCGTCCCATTCATTGGGCAAACCTAGGTTACTACCCTACACTTCCACAGCCTTTGCGGATCTGGAGACACGAACAACTCACCCCTTTCTTTCTCAAAATTTCTTCTCAACATTCTCTCTTTTTGAGAAGCAAATGGCGTGTACACAGCTGGGGCTCCGGTTCGTATCCCAGATTCTGCTTTCACAAGACCCAGTGAGTGATGATTTCCAAACCCACACATCTTATCATCAGGAAGGGATATACATTTAACTTGGCAATGCTCAGAATTAGAGACTTGGGAAAAACTCTCACAGCACAGGTGAGATGAATGTCTCTGACCTCTGCTCCTGCAACCATTCAAGATGCATCTACGTAATAATGGAAAGTGTGGGTGTCTGTCATGTTCCGTTGAGTCACCAGACTGAACAAAACGACGACAGCCCATGACGGATAAGTATGGACAAGCTTAAGAAGACTCAAACACTCCTGAATGTAAAATAAACCCTCAAGAAATTCAGAGATGTGCCAAACAAACGATGTTTAAGGTTCAAGGTCAAAGACACACCAGGGCATCCTGATCCAAAGGGCAGGTCATGTGACGATGTCTCCTTTCTGACACAAACAGAGAAAGTTTTGATCAGAGTCTTCTCTGTGGGTGTTGGAGGCTGCTGGTCCTTATGATTGGAGTCTCCCCTGCAGATGCTGTAGACAGTTCATCTTCATGGTTGGAGTCTCTCCTAGAAGTTCTGGAGGCAGCTGGTCCCCACAGAGGATGTTGCTCCATTTCATGTGTTGCGTGACAAGAATGTGCTGCCGTCTTAAGAGATAAAGAGATTATATCCACAGCAGAACAAGGACGCGAGTAAACCCTTATGACTCAGCAAGCAAAGAGTGGGCAAACACTACGTAGGGTTTTTACAGTAAAGAGTCACATATCACATAAGAATAAATCAATAAATAAAGAATAAACTCAATAGCGGAATGTTTGTATAGCATGACCAAGGAAGAGCCTGAGTTTGGCCCTCACCAAAATCAATTATTCAAAGCAGCTCTTGGGGTATCCAGCTCTAAATGAATTGTCTCCGTGTAGAATGTCAAGTTCCATGGTCAGAGATCTCACTGGAACTGGGTTTTGTCAAAAACATGAAATCACACAGTCAGACAGGTCCAAAAGTTGTCCAGATGTTGTAAGAGGTTTCCTAGAGGGCTCGCAGGATCAGGGCCGTCGAGGACAAGCTAACTGGCTGAACTGGAAAAGCAGACTTCCCTGCCACTCACTTTTCACACCAGCTCCATTCTCTTAGCTAATAACTATTGACCTTGATGATCAACCTCCGGGGGAAGGAAAGGCTAAGTTGGGCTCTTGGCTTGGCACGCAAATCTAAGCATCAAGCAGACCAGTTCACCCCGCAGTTTCACATAGCCACAGACTTGAAAAATGGCAATCAGAGGAAAATTCCACCAAAAAGATGGAGTTTCAGATTAGGAAGATAACTTAACTGTGAACAGAAGAAGTGTGCTGACATAAAAACCTCAATAGTATCATAGGCAGTGCACAATGGCTTAGCTTATTGGTCAAGAGGCCTGGGAGGAGAATGATGGGCAAAGAGAGGACTTAGACAAAGAGATTTGGGAAAGATTTCAAGTGGTCTTAGGACAGAACACAGAGTGAAATGATGTTGGCGTTGCTGGATGAGCCTTTGCCTTGTAAGAGGATTAAAGTATGATGTCTAAAGAATAACAGACAGATGGCACCAGCCAGCCCATCATTGGTATGATGACCTCACAAATAGCGTAGATACATGGTAACAGATGTTCTGTATGGACCCAGGGTAATGGCCTCTTTATCTCTGTGGCTAAGATCGTTACTACCAGTGCAAAATGCCCAACTTGTAAGTTACAGAGACCAAGATGTAGCACACAACATGGCTCCCTCCCTCCCGACTTAAGTCTAGTGAACCGCTTCTTGGAAAGGGTATGGATGGGTTCTGTTTAACTTTCCTACATACAAGGTTTTTGTTAGCATTTCTCTCTACAAACCTCCATCGAAATTAGATAGATCCTGCCTAGTGCTGCATTGTACCGGATTCTGTGACAGCGAGGAAATGCTTACGAAATCCATTGATCCTGTCACTAACCACACTCCAAATGACGCTACCGGCGTAGATAGAGTGACAAAGGGACCCTTGGAAGGCTCCTCTCTCTCACCAACCTGGAGAGAACACGCCAAAATAGTAGCAGAGATTTTTCCAGGGTTCACAATGTTCTCTGATGCACCAGAAATCATGATTCAGTGCCCCCACCTGGTAGAAAGCATGAGAGAGAATTCTAGGGGTGGAAGAAGGAGTGGCCCCACTGACCACCCCCCCCCCGGTGACCCAGTTGAGGCATTTGCATTTTCTGTCCCTGTGACCTCCAAGCTCTGAGGGTCTGGAGGTCCTACTTCCCAGAACAGCCCCCACCAGTGGGAAGAGTGCTATTATATTTATATCTGCCACTATCACCTGTTCACCTGGAATTCGTATACTGAGTGTCTGGAGAGAAAGAAGGGAGGAAACAAATTTGTAGATGCATAATAGGAGGAGCTGTCTGGTGACCCAGGGCATCATAGTACCAGTGTCCCACACACAGAATGGTTGAATACCTTCTGCAGCCATGACCGGAAAGGGACATGGTAAATAAAAGGCTTAGTCGTCAAATCACATGAGCTTCTCAGAGCAATTAGAGAAATAGCTAAGGATGAGAAGAATCCTTGATAATAGAAGATATGGACCATGGATAACTGCCATAGTCAAAAGAACAGCTTCAACGACTCTATTCTCAGAGGTCTCCCCTGGAAAGGAAACCAGCCAGGATCATAGAACCGCTGGTCACAGAGACAGTGGTGTGAAACAATTGGAAGACAAGGAGTGGGCTGTGGTGGCCCAGGCATTTTAAGCATTCTAGCTCCTGAGGGTTGGAAATATTTTTCAGTTCAAGAGTAACCTTACCCAAGATCACACCTCCTCCCCATGGGCAGCTCACACTCAAGACTGGCTGATGAGACTCGGAAGCCAAAGACATGAGGCTCCGACTCCCATGATCCCACCTTTGTGCTGAACGTCTTAATGGTCCCTCAGACTCCAGCATGTTTCCTGGGATTTCTCAAAGCCTTGCCTGTGACTTCACTATGGTGAAGCTTCTTCTTACTCTTCCAGGGTGTTGGCCTCAACAGCATTCCCCAACGAGCATTCCACACACAAATCTCTAAGGTTGAGAATCCAATTCCTAGAAAACTCGATGAAGGGGCGTGGTCGATCGATAATTAACCAGGCCAACTCAATACAAAAAGATTTAGCTTTTAATAAAAGGGGAAAACTTACACGACCAGAGATCCCATGAACACCAGGTGAGCAGGGAACCAAAGAGAGAGAGGAAGTGGCAAGGTACTTTGATCTTTTATTTGTTTTGTGTGGCCCTGGGGCCATATAAGCAGAATATGATTGGCTGAGATTCCCCATCAACTCAACACAGACTAAATGTTCCCTTTAAATGACAGACATATTGGTGCCATCATGCACAAGAGAGAAGAAGAGAGACTTCTATCCCATGAAGACAAATGACAAAGGCCCTAAACCGGAACTGTAGGTCCTACTTGGTCTAGGTTCCTCAGCTTTACACGCCTGTCTCCTGTGCACCTGTCTCCTGTGCACCTGTCTCCTGTGCACCTGTCTCCTGTGCACTCTGTTTCTGCAGCACTGACCTTTCTTCCTGAGTGTTCTAGACAGGTGTTCTCTTGTCCCAGAACCTTCCCACATGCCTTCTTCAGTCCCAGACTATATCAAGGTCCTGCTATTTGGGTTCCCGGCACTGTCCGTTCTTTTGCCATGGCCCCCATCATTTTAAACTAAATAGCTGTGTTGCTACTTAATTAATGCCTGCTTTGCTCATTATTATAATGCCAGCACATAGGACAATATCCCATACTTCTCTATGACAATAAATATCTGTTAAATTTGTGAATAAAATGCTACTGGTAGTGGTGTCCCACACGTTTAACCCCAGTACTGGTAGTGGTGACACACACATTTAACCCCAATTTTTGGGAGGAGAAAGCAGGTGGATCTCTGTGAGCCCCAGGCTGGCCAGGATTACACAATGTGACTCTGACTTAAAACAACAACAAAACAGAAAAAAAAGTCAATTTATACAAACAGATGCAAGGCTGGCTAGTTTCTGGGACTCCCACAAACACTAAACCTAACACATAGTTTTCTGTATTGTCTTTTGTCTCCTGTGGGCATTTTTCTTGACTGGTGATTTCCTTTCTTGGTGGATTCCTGCCGAGCCAAGGCAATATCACCTGACTTTATATCTCAAGTGGTTAATCCATTTCTCCCTATTTGCAAACTAAGAGAAGGATTTCTCTTCCTCATCTGAATCTCAGAAAGGGGCTTTCAGAATCTTTACCCAAATAAATCCTAAGAAAATGCAAATGTGAACATCTATGTTGAAAGGAACGAATGCTTTTGTTTTTTTCCCTTTATTTTCAAGGGTTGTTTTTTTTTTTTTGTAGAGATTTTGTATACCACAGGTACACACAGAGCATAGTATGTGTGTGGCTGATGCACTGGTCAGTTTTTGGGTACCAATCATATCTTATGTTTTGTAGGGCCAAGGAGAATCCAACTATAGGGGTAAATGTGCTCCTGCCATTCCCTGCTCTGCTAAATGGTCACTGTGTCAGGTTAGAGTGCACTCTCCAAGGTTGAATGATGGATGTGGCCTAGAAGAAAACCAGCAAATCCAAATAATATGGGACTGAGTATGAGTGTGGAAGAGAGCCCCACACCCAGTGAAGCAGGTGCAAAGGGTCCAGAGGTTCCAGAGGTTCCAGAGGGTCCAGAGGGTCCAGAGGGTCCAGAGGGTCCAGAGAGTCCAGAGGGTCCAGAGAATCTAGAGGTTCCAGAGGGTCCAGAGTTCCATGCAGCCAGACACCAAGCAGGGTATGGGTTCTCTGCTGCTGAATTTCTAGCTCTTCCAAGAAATCTAAAGATGGATTCAGTTTTGCACAATTAATATTTGCCCTTACCTTAAGAGAAAATTAAAACAGGGGCCTGGAGAGCTGGCTCAGCTGCTAAGTTGGCTGCTCTTACCCAGAACTGGGGTTCAGTTCCCAGCACTCTCCAGGCAGCTCACCATCACCCAATCTTCCAGATGCAGGGCATCCAGCATCCTCCTCTGCCCTCCGTGGGTGCTGTGTGCACGTGTCTCACATATCTACATGTAGGCAAATGCTCATGCGCATAAAATAGTTTAAAAATAGAAACAATAAACAAAGAAAAGGTATCATGATCTCCAAATCAAGCACAGGTAGCTTTTGGTGTCTTGTTCTAGAACCCTCCGCAGGCAGCAACTCCATGGAAGGATGCCTGAATCTCTTGCATAGCATGACATGGAGCGCTCACCTTAAGTCCTGTGCGCTTTAGTCATCTCTGGCTTGCTTATAATTCCTATCGCGATATCAACATTGGAGAGACGCTTATACACTATGTAGTTCAGGAAACAGAGGATGAAAAATAATCCACCCATGTTTGGTTAAGATGCAATTTCTTTCCCAAATACTCTCTGTTTGCAGTTTTGTAGGGAGTTAAACACAAGGATGCGGTGTACCAACTGTACGCCCAAACCAGAGCCAAGGTTAAGTGTTTTAGGGTGCTCTGCCCTGTGAACCAAACACAGTCTCTTCAAACTCACTGGAGACAGGACGAGGTCCTAGGAATGACTGTGCCTCAGTTTCTCAATCTGCCAAATGAATCTGCAGGGCCAGCTGTTCAGCTCTCAGTTTCTGAAGGTCCCTCTAAAGCCTGCTGTGCACCCAGCCATGCTCTCATTCCCCAGTAGCTCATTTCCATTTCCAGTGAAAGGTATTTTGCTGGGATTTCCATTTCCTTCAAGGGCTAATTGCAAAAGACAGGGGCGAGAGCGCACACCATGCTCTCCTTCACATCTCATTACATTTATTCAGCTTTATTACTAATTCTTTGTTCATATAATTTTCACCCTGGGATCTACACATTTTGTCTAGTTACCCCCACTCAGAAAACCCACCTTAATTCCAGAGGCTTCTGACGCCTCCCAGGATCTTTAAGCAGCAGTTTCAGAGCTCACACTAGCTTCCCGAGCAGAGGGCCGCTCTGAAGAGCATGCAGCCCCCCCCCCCAAGCTGGAGCCCAGGGCATGGCCTGGGGAGTCTAGGGGCTCAGTCCCACCATCACAGAGGTCTGCCTCCATCCTCTGAAACACATACACATGGACAGGGACAGAGAAGCTGTCTTTGCAAAGCTCTTGGTGGCACACCTGTCATCCCAGACTGCAGGAGGCTGAGGCAGGAGGATTGTGAGTGTGATGTCATATGAGACTGCATTGGGAGACCCTATCTCAAAATATCAAACCAAATCCCCACGTGAAGAGTAGGAGAAATAAACACCTGCGGAAACCATCCTGAATTAGGACGTCTGGGTTTCCATGAAAATGCCAGCTCCTGTGGCAGGGCTTGCATCGTTGGTCCAGCACAGGTGCTGAACCTCCCCTGGCCACTTCCACTTGTGAGCAAGCAAACCACATCCAAGCTGGGGACTCTCATCTCCAATTACTTCATCCAGATTTAGGAAACAGGTCCTCCTCCCCGGGAAGCCAGGGATGAAAAGAACAGGAAATACGCACATTCCCCCTGAAACACTACTCCAAAGGACAAACGCAGTAATCCCACCAATGATGCTCCATGCCTGTGATGGCTAGCAGCCGACAAATACCCGCAGACCTCAATCCATTTTTATTGTATTCAGGCTGCAATGCTGTATTTCCTGCCTCCCCTTAGCACCACACATACAGTGTACTTGAAAACAAAAATCTATAATATTGATCCCACAATGTCACCACAATTATTCTTTTGAAACAGCCATTGAAAACAAATTACATCTGCACTGCCTTTTCATCCGCCTGCTGCGAGTGAGCAATGCTCACTGTGGCCTCCAGCACCAGGGTGTTGGCACTGTGTCACAGCCGACAGGACGGCCCAGGGAAACGGCGGAGGAGGGGGAGAAGGGGGGTCATGAAGAAAACCAGATCAAAGGGTCACCCTGACTGGGCATCTAGGAGAGGGTGTGGATTCCCACGAGGAGGTAAGCTGAGCCAATCTAGGGAGAATTCTGGGCTGTCTCTGAAACTACTCTTGGGGTTCTGGGAGTCTGGGGCGGGGACGGGGGGTGGTGGGAAGGCCCTCCAACTCAGTAAAACAAAGATTTAGCCCAGCACTCAAGCCTGGATGTTCTAGTTTTTAATGTAACTGCAGTAAGAAACACTGAATTTGCACTAGCTTACCTAATGCACATAATTCTACTGACAGATTGAAGTCTCCTTAACAGAGCTGAGGAAAAGCCAGATGGATGTTGCCCATAGCCCCAACCATCAACCGCCAGGATGCTAACTAACTAACATGCCCCACCCCACTCCCCGCCCCCCCCCCCAAAAATGTCAGGCTTTCCTCTTTGGAACCAGCTGCCTCCCCAGAGCTTGGAGAAGTAGCAGAAACTCTCTGGAAAGCTGAGGCTTGCTACAGATGTGGTGGCCCAGTGCCCTGGGCCCCCGCCCCAGGTCCTCTCTCGAACAGGCTGAGCAGTTGTTCCCCTCGCTAAAAATGGCTGCAGTCAGGGGCCTACCTGTTTGCTTTAGATTGTCCTCCTTGGACAAAAATGCTCTGCGTGGTAATTAGATCCCTGCCACCGAGTGGTGGGCAAAGGGAATTCTTTTGTTAAGGTTTTGACCACACAAGTCAGGGTGGCCACTGTAGCAGTCGGGAAGTGATAACTTTGGGCCGTTAAAAAAAAAAAAGAAAAAAGCCAATAGCCTTGTTGACATGAACATGGGAACCTAACCCCTGAAGCCTCCTGGTATGACGCATTGATTTTCCCGTCCGTGTGCAGTTCTAAAGCCATCCATTCTGCATGGTCAAGACTCCACGGGCCAGCGAGAGAAGGGGGAAAAAAATCTGTTCTTGCTTCGTACCTCCAGGCAAAGTTGAGAAATAAATTCCATGTTTTGAGAGATGATTTGTTCAAGCTATGTTTAAGAGACTATGATTGGAGAGAGAGAGAGAGAGAGAGAGAGAGAGAGAGAGAGAGAGAGAGAGAGAGATTTTGTTGCCCTGACCCCCTTTAACCTGTGGTCACTCATTTTCATGCCGAAATGTTGACCCCGTAGGTGTGACTTACAGAGGGTACAGAATACCAAGGGGGAGAGGTTGGAATAGGTACAGAGATAAGTTTGCTAAGTTTATTTATTTATTATACCATTAAACTGCCTGATAATTCCCCAAATAATCCTCTTCTGACCACCTGTCATCTCTGAGTCCTATGTGAATGCTTGTTTTATAGGCACGCCTGCTCCTGGGCTGCTTGCAATAGCCCTGCTTGCTTTGAAAGCCTCTTTTGTTCACAGTTAAACCAGGCCCTTCAGGTCTGCCTATGAGGCATCCTGACCCGACCCCCACCCCGCCCCGTGTGCTATGGCAGCCAGACACTATTAGATCCCCAGAGAGACTTCTAGCATCACCTGGCCTTCTCCGGGGCACCCCCAGGGTCCACATTCACACCATCTGTCCCCCTCTAACCCAAACCCCTGCCTGTTGTGGGCTATGACAAACAGGAGACTTGGGTGAGGGAGAGAGAATCCAGGCTTTGGGGAAATTTGCTGAGACACCGCCTGGGGATTCCCAGAGCAGCCGATTTCACATGCTCAGGACTTTCAGGAGCAGTTAGCTATTTTAGTCACAAATAAAGCAAGCTCTGGCGCTGGTCAGGATGCAGCACTCACAGAGGTGGAAGGCGAGCATCTTAGCTGCAAGTTCGCGGTGCCGCCTTTCTTCCAGGTATCACATACATCATTTCCTGGTGCAGAGGAACGTGGAGCTATTTGGGGGGGGGAAGCTGAAAAAGACCGATTAAAAATCATGAAAAAGTCCTGACCTAGACAGAACTAAGGACTGAATGCAGAACCCAGAAAACAAGAAAATGAATGCTCTAGCATCCGCTCTCATCCCAAGTGTATACAGTGTAACAAGACACCAGCATGCAAGCACTGTAGTTAATGTCCTAAGCCCAGTCACACAAAACACTCCCGCCAGATAACTGCGCCTCGCTCCTCTTATAGAAGAGTATTCTTAAATTAGGTTGGTGTGAATGTGTTTGTATATTTATTATTAAAATACTTACTGTTCTGCCTTTTGAAGTCGATGGACAAATGATTTAGGAGTAGAAATAGACGAGAAACAAAATTAATGCAAATAATGTGTTGATTTTTTTTTTAGCTTGATTAGCCAAGCCAATGGAAAATTCTAGAAAACGTATACAATTATTTTAACTGTCACAGGCTGGCAATTGTAATTGACATGATTTGTACGAGATGCAGTGTAATAACTGAATATATTAAAAAAAAATCTCATGCCTTGATTACCAGGAGAACATTACTAGTGGCACAATATTATTAACAGCACAATTATTGTGGCATCCTTAGGATACGCTCTTAGCACTTCAATGCATTAGTGAACCTTTGCTAACGAAGAAAAAATTAAAGTACAGCAAATTTCAAAGCACCAGTTGTACCCAATATCATTAAAAATTTATAAAACTTCCTCTGAACATGACAAGTGTTTGGTTTAAATGAAGATCAGCCACAAGGAGAAAGCAGAAATCCTGATACTCTTTGTCTCCGTCCTTCCCCTCCCTCTCTCCCTCTCTTTCTCCCAGATCTCCCCCAGCCGGCACCACCTCAATCCAGCTGAAATATGTAACCATTACGGAGTGACAGCTTGACACACAATGACCCGTCAGAACATTCATCTCGCAATGTTTTATTTTAGTGAGGAGCCAAACTGCAGAAAAAATAAGCAAGTTGTTTCAAGGCTTGGAAGGAGATCAAACATTTCTGGCATGCCCACTTACCAGACCTTTGATTTACAATGGACTTGTCAGAGCCCGATTAGACAGTATGTGCTTAAAAACCTACAGAGGCTCCTCAATTGCCCCCAGCACACCACCATTTTCCCCATGGAGAGCACCCCTTTGTTCCCAGGTCCCACAAATACAGGCAAGAGCACGGAACTGTGCACCCTTGCAGGAGAGCCCGGGGTATGTAAAATTCCACACCAGTACAGCAGCTGCAATTACATCTCTTTGGCCAAGGAAGTGGAGGGTGGGGGTAGAGGAGAGAGGGGGCCCGTGCAAGATGGGCTCTACCGCCAGTTTCTCTCTGTACCTCTCCCGTCCAAATCAAAAGTTACCGTCTTTCCCAGGAAAAACACACCCCAGGATTGCTACCACTGATGGGGTGAGCTTTCTAACTTTATTCAAATGGAAACAGCTTTATATAAAAAAAAATACGAATCAGACCAAAAGTGCAGGTGTTTAAAATATGTTCACGGTATTACGATTTTTGCTAGTAATTACAACTAGGAAATAGCTGGAAATATATTGTTTCAATTTGTATGGAGAACAATTGCCGAGCGCGCGTCCTCGGCACGAGCTGTGCCTGGCATCAGAATGTGTAATTCCTTAACCCTATATGGAGGCTCAGGGCTCGCTGGGGCGAATTATGAATCCATGTGCTTAGAAGGACGGAGTAGTAAATCCAGTTTCCTATGTATCCGTTACAATGCAATCCGACATGTGTGATTTATGGAATATTAAGTTAATACAGTATTATGAAATTAGCTTAATGCACTAAAGCTGTAATTTTAAAGTGAAAAACAATGCGACCAGACGTAAACAATATCGACATTAGCATTTCGTGAAAGCTGAGACCAGTTCGCTCAAAAATGTGTCTGGAGAGTCACAGATTTACCTCTCCTGCGGGGCCCAAGGCTAGGCAGGCTCTCAGACTCAGGACCACATCTCCAGAGGCCAGGCTGCTCTCCCTCTAGCCAAAGTCGGCTAGGCCAGCGACGGGCATCAACCAGGGAAGCTGTCCCGCAGGGAAGCTGCCAGGAACTGTTCAGAGCTGGTCAGCATAGAGCGGTGATGACTGTACAGGCTGAGGAGGAAGGGCCTCCTGCCCCTGCACACACACACACACACACACACACACACACACACACACACACACACAGGGGCTGGCGGAGATACTCCCGAGCAGAGCTCAGGGAGACAGCTGGAGCACCAGATGCAACTCAGGATACTGGAAGTTCCCAGCCTGGAATGAATGGGACTCAGAGGTCAAGCAGATCTTGTTGATCCCAGACAAAAAAAAAAAAAAACAAAACTAGCCAAGTTGTCCTGGGCTCCTCAGAGAGAAACCCTAACCAAAGGCGATCAGAGACTTCTGACGGGACAGAGCGCCAAAATGGTGGGTTCTGTGCAGTTCAGTCACACATGCCCAGCGTGGCCGCCTGCAGACCAGCCCGAGACTCATGAATGGCCCAGTAGAGGGCTGTCAATCAATGCCTGATGCTGGCAGAGGGCCTGCTGTGCGGGTTTGGGTTAGATGCGGGTTCCCTCTGTCCCTGGCCTTGTCCACCAGCGCTTCCTAGCGTGGAAGATTCTTTGGGACAAAGGAATAGTGAGTCCAAACAAGACCTGGGGTGCTGAACCCCAGTCCTGAGGCAAAGGGGAGAGGATACGCTGTTGTGTGTGGATGAGCCGCAGGATACTGCCTGCTGCCCTTCGTTTCACCCGCAGTAGCCAGACTATCACAGAGCAAGGGAATGCAGATGCTTAGGAGCCAGATGCAGCCCTTGGCTGCTGGTGTGCATCTCTGCCCTAAAGATGCTCCCACCTCTTGGTGACCACCAGCACAGTAGCAAACAAATTTCCTCAGACCCTGAAGGAATGAATTCTGAGTCTTGAACCTGCGTGACTTTGGGCATAGAAGGACATTTTCCTCTGATTCCCAAGTTTGAAACTCCACATGGACACTGGGGAGATGAGAAGTCACCAGATAAGTGGAATCCTAGCTTCTCTGTTAAGACTGACCTTGTTCATGGGTCTGTGATCTAAGCTCTGAGAGTCTGATCTTTATGTGCCCGGCAGATGTCCCTGCAAAGAATAGACCCAGAACCCCACACTGCCATGAGCATCTCAGTGAGTGTCCAGCCCATTCGAATGCTTAACAGCATGACGTCAGCATTTGCTTTTGTACTGGATCTTCCTTTAAAGATTTCCTGTATGTGGCTCAACTTGGTAATGGGGATGATTTCATTTATCTAAGGTGCCACAGTATCTTCCCATTCCCACACTAAAACCAAAGCATCCTATTTAAAATAAATAAAAAGCGTATGTCAAAGTTAGAGACAGGACAGTTCCAGGGAGAGCAGGGGAGGGGGGTTGTGAGTCTATCCTTAAGGCCTGCAGCGAGGCCCAGGTACCTCCTCCACCTGGCCGGCTGTCTGCCCCTAGGCTTGCTGCCTTCTCTTCCTGAGATGCGAGGTGTTTATTAGCGGAGCTGAAAGCCAATACTAATGTTTTAATTCCATCAGGTATGTTTCAATTCCTATTCTGCATTTTGCGTTAGGAACCCAGACTCGGTCAATACTTTGAAGCCCTGATGCTGGCACAGGAGCTTTGGCTGCCTCGACAAATGGCTATGCTTCGAGACATGAGGATAAACAGGGACTCACGCATTGCTCTCTCCGGGGCCAAAGACCAAACATGCTGCTTAGTCACAAAGCCATTGTCTAGAGAGGCAGCTGTGAATTGGGGTCTTTATTGCATGTTTCTGCTGGGGGAAAAAAAAGCTTCCTTTAGCCTTCCAGAAATATTAATCTCCAGAAATAACACAACCCTCTACTGAAGAACTAGGTGTGACGGGCAAGCCAATGACGATGGTGGCCTAGAAACTGCTACAGACACAGGGAACTCGTCCCCTCCTCAGAACCGGTCATCTTTCTCAGCCCTCAGTAGATGGAGACAATATGGTGAGCAGCCTCGCTGATGCTAAAAGTAAATCAAGATGTGGTAAGAAGAAAATGGACATGGGTCTGATTGAAACAAAATGGCTGCCTTTGCTCACCTCCTTGACTAACAAAGGTCTATTAGCCTCATGAGCCATGTGTAAGCGTGTACGCGTGTGTGCAAGTGTGGGTGTGCAAGTGTGGGTGTGCAAGTGTGTGTGCATGCATGTGTGCAAGTGTGTGTGGGTGTGGGTGTGTGTGATTCAGGTGTCTCCTTTGGAGACAGAGTCTCTTGGGGTCGTTGCCATGTACATCAGGTTAGCTGCCTGCGAGTTTCTGAAAACTCTTTTCTCTCCACATCCTATCTTGCCAAAAGAGCTGAATTACCGGCATGAGCTACAGAGCTAGCTAGCTCACCTTCACAGGCGTCTGGGGATCTGAACTCTAGTCCTTTACAAGCAACTGCTTTATAATACAGCAGCTCCCCAGCCCTGGCCTTATTCGTAAAGATGAAAATAAATCAAAGTATTTTTATCCGGAACAAAAGGGGGTCGCTTCAAACCCTCACACAAAGGTCTGAATTTATTTTGTTCCTAAATTCGAAGCCACATAAAACACACATACACACACACACACACACACAAGAGTACACATAATACCAATAAAAAATGGCCATGAAACACATGGAGCTCTCGGGTTCACAGCAAGTACTCGATTGCTGAGTAGGCTGTCCTTGAACCCTTGGCCTTGACTTCTCGAATACAGGACATACCAGGTGAGTACCACTGTGACCTGCTGGAAGTGGCTTCTAATGAACACCCTGCTTTGCTGTTTATCCCTCATTGCTTTGAAGGAGGGGACAGTTCCGCTCTGGAGTTCAATGTCTGCCATTTTATGGCCATAACTGGAGTCGATCGGCTTACCTGGGCAAGATCTGGGGGTTCAGAAGATAGGCTAAAACCTCACCCCTGAACACTCAAGCTTTTCCTGCTTGGTAGGTAAATGGTCCTATTCTCACTTAGCAAATTATGTATAAACAAATGACCTTCCGGGCTGGTTCCCTCTGAGTGCCTTCTCCGTCTCACCGTGGTTTTCCATCAGGATGAACCTTCTCCCGTGCCTTATGCACCAGCAAACATACTGATACAATTTAAAGGTCATGTTCTTTTCAAACTGACAGAGCCCTCCAAAGTTTTGATGAGAGCCCCTCTAAGCCTCACACCCTACAGGCGGAAAGGAATTAAGAAAACCATCACTTTGAGAAAGCTCGATCATGTGAACTGATTAGAAAGAAAAAAATGCCTCCGTGGAGAGGGGGCATGTGTGAGCTGGTGAGCGGATCACCCCGAAAGGAGATGTCACCCAGAGCCTCAGAGAGCCCCCACCACGGAGGGTGGGAGGACCATGTAAGAGTCAATGAAGATATAATTACCTTCCTCGAGACGCATCTTCCCCCAGCTTCCCAATGTACGCCACTTAATTAGCCTCACCTTTTGATTCGAAGATAGTCCAACGTCACCCAAGCCCCAGGACGGAGAGAGCAGTGTGGTTCCTACGGCTCACAGGAACACTCCTGTGATAACTGAAGAATCACCCAGAGTATAGATTCTGCATAAATATGCATTGTGTGTAGACAGTGATATATTTATTTACAGGTGCATTTGTATTATCCGGAGGATAAGCAGTTCATGAGGGTTTTTTTTTTTTCACCCCAGTCTCTGGAATTAAAAAAAAAAATAAAAAGGAATGAACAATTGAGATGACACCATGCTGTTGATGGTGTGAATCTCTGCTACAATGCTCTAGAAATCCAGCTACAGCCAGGCATTCCCACGGCAAAGTATTATTATTATTATTATTATTGTTACTATTATTATTATTTTGATAATATTATATTTGATGCTTTGGCTTCGGTTATTTTGTTCTCCAACTCTAATCTACAAAATGTGAACTGAAAATGTGATGCTGGCTGATATTCCCACGAGGCTCCAGATGTCCTGTACCTGTGATGACGTCATCTGTTACACAGAAGTAGACTCACAAATGCAGGGGGTGGCTTGCGCCACAGTCAATCCAAGGCATGTTCCCTAGGTATTTCCTTCCCTCCTAGCCCCTCCTCATGCAGCTCACATCATACACCTTTGGGAATAAAACTGGCCTAATTCCAAGCACTTACGTGTTAAAAGTAGATGCATGAAGCACCCTGCCCCCAAGGGGGACTCTAGTCTATCCACTTGCTTGGTTGTAGGACCAATATCACCTTCATCATGTAAGTTTATCAAATCTCTCCAGAAACAATCTGCCTTATGGTTCCCTTCGCCACATATTTAGCTGACTAATGCACAGAACTCCACAGCTGTGGCTGTCCCTGTCATGGGAGGCTGGGGCTGAGACCCTGAAATACAGACATTACACAAGATTTTCCTGTCATCACTCTTCTTTACGCTTGGCCTCCCTCTGTGTTGCGTCACTGTTATTCCAAACTGAAGTGTCCCTCGTGCCATGGACACCAGTTGCTCCAGCCTTGGGCCATTTCCTCCTGCTACTACCACGTCCTCCTTCACAACCTGCTCCCCCAAGGTCCCAGAGCAAAGGCACACAGTGTTTCACACGGACCCTTCTTCCCGCTCTTCTTCCTGTGGCGGTCATGTCGTAGGACTGTCTGTCCTGTGAGAATGTGTCCAGCATATGGCTTGAAGGGGGGGGGGGGGCTTCCCAAAGCTAGTGGTCATTAAATTAAAATTTTGAATTAAGGCATGTACCACCATGCAATTAGCATAAGAAGCTTTCCCAGAGACCATAATAAAAGATTGCTGGTATTCTAATGAAATCTCAACTACCAGGATGTCCCCTAGCCCACTAGGGGAGTCGCTTACATATGAACCAAATAACCTATCAGCATCTCTTGAATATCTTTTGTTGGCAAGCTTGGCAGTGATTGGCTGAAGATGCAAACAGAGAATTCTTTTAAAGAGTTCTCAATGCACCTGAGACGCTGCCCTGAAAAGGAGAAGTTAATTACCTGCGTGGTCATCCTGGACACACTTCAGGTCACCAGGTGTCCGTAAAGAGCACAGAGGCTCTGGCAAAGAGGGTGAGGCGTTTTCTTCGGGTTTTAATTGGTATCGTTCCTAAACGGTGGCCACACTGGTCACTTATTTA